AGCTACGAAACTCTTAGGGCGTGACTTGGAGAGAGCGGGAGAAGATCAAAGCCGTCGCAGAGAGCGCCATTGCAGACAAGCTGCTGAGAGTGCCGGTTCTGAGAGAGGAGCGCCCAGGCGGTCTACTTGCGGTCTACTTGTTAACTTGCTGAGGGCCGTGATGAGGGAGTTTGTTTCAGGCGCTACGTGCTGGCATATGTTGAAGCATTTGGCGAGAGTTTGTAGAGAGTTTCTGAGAGTGTCGCTGAGACTTTGTTGAGAGTTTCTGAGAGCGTGTGTAGAGAGTCGCTGAGAGTGCGTAGAGAGTTTCTGAGAGTGTCGCTGAGAGTTTGTAGAGAGTTTCTGAGAGTGTGTGTCGAGAGTCGCTGAGAGCGCATTGAGAGTTGCTGAGAGTCTAGAGAGTCGCGAGGATGTCGGGCGTTCGTAGATTGTAAAGAGTTGCTGAGAGTTGCGAGATCTAGTTGTTGAGAGTATGCATAGACCCCCCAAGAGATAGTTCTGTTCTCTGTTGAAGGAAGCTGTTGAGAGTTTGTAGAGAGTTGACAGTTCTGAGAGTCTGCTTAGACCCTTAACCATGCTGTTTGAGAGAGCAGGGTTCTCGAGAGATTTTTTGTGGTCAAGGCGTTGCTGAGAGTTGGGGAAGGGCTCGAGGCCATACCTTAAGTTCCCCCCCTGGAGTCAACCCTGTTGCGTTGACGGGTTACCCACATGGCAGCTGCGATCTGCCCAAGCTAAGCTGGAACAAGTTGCTTCCGTAGCTGCCGTAGTCATGACAGCTGCGCCCGACCGCGTGTGGCTTGGCGGCGTGCCATGGGGCTGCAGCAGAAGCAACCTGCTAAGCATGCTTCAGCCGGGCCCTTGGCGTGCGGCGCGCCTGCTTTTTGTGTTGTCCTCAGCTCCTGAGGCTCCCAGCGCACCTGCGCCCTCTGGATGTGGGCATGTTGCACCGCAATGGGGCCGTCTCTGCAGCTGTGCTTCGTCAGGACCTCATATACGCGCGACCGCTTTCGTGCGCGCGGGGCGGGGTGGGCCGCCCGGTGGGCCCAGCTTGCGCTCAGGCTTCAGCACGCCCGACGCGGCGTCAGCGGCTCTGCTGCTTTTGCAGCGCGCTGGCTGGCACGCTCGGCCTTACCAGACCTCTGGCAAGGCCTGCCACGCAGGACCAGGTAAAAGTGTTCAGCATTTTGAGCACATGTTGCAAGCCACTAACTTGCAAAACAATCTTCACATGTACTTGGCTCTATTGACAGCCTCCACGTTGAGAATTTGTTGAGATTGGTCCCCAACCAACATTCCGCTTTGAGAGGGTTTTTTCTTGGGAGTGTTGCTGAGAGTCTTGCTGAGCGTTGTGTTGAGAGGATTTTTTCCTGCAGTGTGTTGCCGAGAGTCTTGCTGAGCGTTGTGTTGAGAGGGGGCCCCAATGTAGGGGGTGGCCACCAATACTTAGCATTGATGGAAAGGGGCGTCGTGTTGAGAGTGTGTGGGGAACCTTGTGGAGAGCACTGCCCCATTATAAAACAAACTTCCCTGCAATCCTTGCGTAGGTTGAGGTCAAGGCGATGCCCCTCATGCCTGGCGCGACTCGCAAGTGCGCAGGGCCGCCCCCTACCACGTCAGCTCAATGGTCCGAATCGGCCCGCTATACTGCAGGGCCGACTCCCTCGACCGCTGGCCCGACAGTGTCGGGGGTGGCTCCGGCGGAAGCAAAGCAGCCGCCGCCAGGGTGGCACTTTGCTAACCCCCCGGCACCTGCGCCCCAGCCGATGGCTTCCCCGCCGCAAAGGACCGATGCTGCCAGCTCTTCTGGTGGGCCTACGGCCGCAGAGCTGCAAAGGCAAGTGGGCCACTTGGAGGCTCACCTAGCAGATCTCTTTGCGGAGGTTCAGGACAGGGCCGGCGTTGCCTTGCTGTAAACTTGCAACTTGGCCATTTTCAAGCCACGCAGTATTTGTTGGAGAAGGTCAACTTGGCTGGCGCCCACCCCCGTCAACCAATATTGTTTTGAAACGGTCCACACCGACTTGTTGCAGCATTTTCTTGTAGGGGGCGTGTTTAATTATGTTTTCCAGCAAGCTTGTTAAGACAGTATGCTGAGGGATCTTGGTGAGAGAACCTGACTGGGGAACTTGTTGAGAGACCTTGTTGAAACCTTGTGGAGAGACTTTGTTTAGAGACCTTGTCAAAGAAAATTGTTGGCCACCGTCAAGCTGGGGACAGGGTCCATCATGTTTTTACTAGTGGGAACTTGTCTTCATTAAATCCACTCTTGAAAGGTCTTGCCGAGAGGTATTGTTGAAAGGTCCTGCGAAATGCCGCGATAACTTGAAGCTTGTAGAGGGAACTTGTTGAGGGACTAGCCAGAAAGCTTCTTGAAGGAACTTGTGCAGGGAACCCGGGCTGGGATTGCCTCCTTTCCTGCGCAGGAGCTTCGAGGTGGCCCGGTGACATCCTGGCTGCGCCGATGGTAGTTCTATCAGCCGACCAGCGGCTTGGTTTTTGAAACACGCAGCGCGAGGACACAGTGACAACTGCTGGAAAGAAAGTAGCGGCGGCGCTCACTTAGGTGTCTCCAGCGGCGCAAGTCGAGTTTTGGGGCAAACTTGGTTGTGGTTTTGACGGCGGTTCTTCTTTTTTTGAATGCGTGTGTGGCGCCTTCCCCCCGAAAGTCGACCAATTTTGGGCCAAACTTGGTCAAGGTGTTTGGCCAAACTCGACCGTTTGCAGGGCTCGAGGTCTAGTTCGTGCACCGAAAATTGATACAGCGCCTGTGTTTGACAAACAAACTTGGTTGAGTTTGGTCAAAACTCGACCAAGTTTGCCCGAAAACTTGATCAAGTTTGCTTGAAACTCGATCAAGTTTCCATCAAACTCAACCAAATTTACATAAAACTCGACCAGTTTTACTAAAGCTCGACCAATTTTTAAAACTTGATTGAGTTTCAACAAAACTCGATCGAGTTTATATAAACTTGATCAAGTTTTACATAAACTTGGTTGAGTTTCAAGCAAACTTGATCAAGTTTTCGGGCAAACTTGGTTGAGTTTTGACCAAACTCAGCCAAGTTTTAGAGGCAAGTGTTCAGTTCATGAGAAAATTTCACTTTTTTTTGAATCGTATGACTTTTCCTTGCAATCCAGGTAACCGTTTGGCTTGCAAATGGGCTGGTGCATAGGCAGTAAAGGTGCTTGTAGATGGCAAGCTGCTTGATAGGACTGTGACTTCAGGCCTTGCTGAGAGGGAGCAATTTATCGACCGAACCTTGTTGAGGGGAGCTTTTTGAGCAGTTTCTTGACAGAACTAGTTGACAGATTTTTGGGGCGATGAGCTTGCTGAGAGTATTTGTTGAGAGAACTCTAGTTGAGAGAGTCTTGTTGAGAGTACGTTTCGAGGGAACTTGTGGCTTGGACCTTGTTGATAATATTGTTGAGAGGAACCTTGTTGAGAGGACCTTGCTGAGAGAGCTGCCTGACAAAGCTACCTGAGGGGACACTGCTGAGACCCTGCCTTTGGCTCTTTCAAGCTCCAGAGACTTGCAGCCCCGGCATCGTGCCAATGAAGCGGCGCGGCGGGGTGCGGCAAAGAGCGCTTGCGGCCGCCAACGGGATAAAACCTGCGCATAGCGGAGCGTTGCCAGCGCTACTTTTGCGATCATGGGCGTGGGGCGACTTGTCGCTGCCGCAGGTGCAGCGCATCGCAGAAGCGGCCGTTACGGACATGGATGCCGCGGGCGGCCAGCCTTCCGAACAGCTCAAGTTCCTGGCGCACATGGGCGGAGCAGGGCGGCAGTCCCACAATATGCAACTCGGCATGATTGGCTCTGCCTTCGCGCTTTCGTCGGCGCCTCTTCATCGTAGGTATCGCGCCACACGACGACGTCTTCCGCAGCCTCCCTACAGCCCAAGCTCATCGAGCTTCCCAGCATCTCTGGGGGAGCTACTCGTTTGCCAGTTCTTTGGCCTCACGCGCCTTGACTTGCATTCATAGCTCGCCAGTCCGCAGACTAAGAAGCGCACGAATTGTTCGTGCTATTAGCGAAAGCAGTATTCGGGCGTTTCGATGAGAGAGCCGCCTCCCATGTAAACAAGCTACGGGGCGTCGGTGAGTGAGAATGCATGCGGAAGCTTGCGGATTGTTTTTGGTGAGAGTAAGGGACCGCCTTGACCTCGGCCAAACTTCCAGGAGTGGTTTCGCAACTTGCACAGCTCGTGGCCGGGGGCTTGGAGCGAAGTGGTTTGCGCTCAGCCTGAGGACTTGCAGGAGTTTTGGAGCGCCCCGAGCCCATTGTTTCCCAAAATCCCTGCGTGCGCAGACGCCGACAGGTCAAGGACAACAATACCGTTCTCTCTACACGGAGACGGCGTGGCCGTCACCGGCCTTGGCAAAGTGTGGCAGAAGGGCGTAGACTGCTTGTCCATGCAGTCGCTAGTCGCTCCGCGCGGTGGCGCAGAAAGACATTGCCACATTTTGTTCATGCTGCCAGGCAGCCTGCTCTGCAAGCAGTCGACCTACGCTGCTTTTTTTTCGCAGCTCGTGCGGTCGCTGAACGCGGTGGCCACGGGAATCTGGCCTGAGACGGACGCTGCGGGACCGCCCCTACCGGCACTTTGCACAGTTGTTGAGCGACGGGCAGACGTTGTTGAGAGAACTAGCTGAGGGAACCTTCTTAACTTGCTGAGAGATGTTTTCGACAAAGCTACGCAGGAAGCTTTTTGCGAGAACCTTGTTGAGAGAGTTTACTGAGAGGAGTGTAGGGAGAGCGGAGACCATGAGTTGAGAGGCCTTGCTGACACGCCAGGACACGCTCACGTGCCCGGATCCCTGGCCGCACGACGGGCGGGAAAGCCGCTAGCTGGCGGGTGGCGGGGTGTGCTCAAGGGCGACCTTGACTGGCATAGTATACTGGAAAGTGCTTGGAGTTCCACGGGATGCTTGCGGGCTTTGCGACGCGGACGCGCCAGGCAGAACTTGGTTAGACTTGCGTCCTTCCAGCGCAGCTTGGATGTCTGTCGAGAACATGCAGCCAAAAGTTCCTATCCGGCACCCGCTGTTCGCCGAGCCGTCGTACCTGACTTTATGGCAGGTGTGCCCAGACTTGATGCACTCCAAGCATCTTGGCGTTGATCAGTATGTAGCTGGCTCCGTCTTGGCTCTGCTAACGTGCGGTGGACTGCCCGCGCAGTTCCAGGCCGCCTGCGACTCAGTGCTCGAAGACATCAAAGCTGCCTGCTCGCGCCACGGCGCGCGCAGTCTTGCGTCCTTGAAGCCTTCTATGTTTTTGTCCGACGTCAAACAGCCCTGGGCCCACTACCCACGGCTGAAGGCGAGAGCAGCCGAAACCAAGCACCTCATGCCCGCCCTCCGCGATGTCTGGCAAGCCTGAGCTGAGGACACGAAGATCAACAGCAACATCGCCCGCCTAGACATGTCCTGCCGAATCGACTCCATCATCGACGCGTGCCCGCGCTTTGCTCTACCTACTGATGCGTCCGCCGAGTTGCTGGAAGTTGGGCACACGTTCTTTGCGCTCCAGAACACCTTGGCCAAACATTTCCTTCGCCAGGAGGGGCGCTTTCTCTTCAACGTCACCTTCAAGCCGCACTGGCTGCTCCACAGCCTCCTTATAGCCAAGCACGCGTCCCCCAGACCGAACCTCAGCCGGCTGCGCCTCGCGCGTGCTCGTAGCTATGCGAGAAGACGCCCTAACAGACATAAAGAACGTGTAAGAAGCCGTTGAACTCACAGCCACTTTCCCAAAGCAGTTGTTTCCAAGTGCTGTGCTTTTTTTGAGCTTTGTTGAGAGCTTTAGGCTTCTCAGAGGTGTCTCTTTTGAGAAGTTTTCTGTTCGTGTGAGTTAACGCGACAGCCCAGTCTCACTTGCATCGCGGAAGCTTGTGGAGGGTGTTGTCGTTGAGAGACATTTCGAAGTATCGTAGATATAGCCTCGCGCGTGTCCAAGGCCCTTGGGCTCCTCCCTGCTGCTCTGCTTTGGAGAGTCTTGTTGAGAGTGCTGCTGAGAGCCAATTCTATTGCCCCCACGCGTGTCTTGTTGAGAGCAGTCCATGTCAGAGATTTCAAATTTTTGAATCTTTAGGGTCTTTGGCAAGAGTAGGCGTCGGTGCGTGCTATCAACAAGAAGACCTGATGCAAAAGGTCCGGAAGCTTCTGCAGTTGTGCACGCGCGGCCTGAAGCCGGCCAAAGCCGTAGAGAAGGCGCTGCGCAAGTATGCGGTGGCCATGCAGACGCAGCATGGCGCGATGCGCTGGTGAGACCTCAAAAGGACTAGCTTGCACGCGCCGGCAATAGCCCCACCCTTGATAGTTTGCTTGCCTTGTCTGTGCGCGCAGTCCAGTGCTGGCCCAAGCTGTGCAGTCAAGTAGTCGCCTATATAGCCTATACCTGGCGCTATGTGCTGAGAGTCTCGTTGAGAGTCTTGTTGAGAGTCGGCAGTGATCGAAGTCGTGTGAAGCCTTCGGTATAGGCGCATATGACTGCGTCGCTGAGGGTTCTGTGCTAGGATTGCTCTGTATATATAAGTATCTATCTACACATTGCGTGTGATTCTTTTCAGTTTTCAAGGTTATTTTTCAAGTTAAAAAAAAGTCTTAATTTCAATTTTAAACTTTAAGACTGTTTTTTCCCCGAGGCAAGTTAAAATTTAACCCGGAATTAAGGCTTAATCCTAAATTAAGTCTTAAAGTTAAAACGTCCCGTTTTTTGTCTTATCGGAGCCTTGGGGTGCCGAATGCGACCCCTGCCACACAAACACACACCCAGATGCACAGAATGCTGCGCCTGCCACGACTTCGGCAACGGCATCGCCAAAGTGCTGCGCCTGCCACGATTTCGCAACGGCATCGCCAAAGTGCTGCGCCTGCCACGATTTCACACGCCCCCCGCCGCGCGCGCGACAACATCCTGTCCCTCTAGACAGCTGCCGAATGCGACCCCTGCCACACAAACACACACCCAGATGCACAGAATGCTGCGCCTGCCACGACTTTGGCAACGGCATCGCCAAAGTGCTGCGCCTGCCACGATTTCGCAACGGCATCGCCAAAGTGCTGCGCCTGCCACGATTTCGCACACCCCCCGCCGCGCGCGCGACAACATCCTGTCCCTCTAGACAGCTGCCGAATGCGACCCATGCCACACAAACACACACCCAGATGCACAGAATGCTGCGCCTGCCACGACTTCGGCAACGGCATCGCCAAAGTTCTGCGCCTGCCACGATTTCGCAACGGCATCGCCAAAGTGCCGCCACGTTTCGCGCCCCCGCCGCGCGCGCTTGGCATCCTTGTCCCTCTCGTTGGCTGCCGTGAATCCCGGCAATTGTGGTGAGTGGTGAGATGGAGTAGTGGTGGTGAGATGAGTGAGTGGATAGTGAGTGTGAGTGGTGGTGTGGTCGATAGATGATGAATGGTGTGATGAGTGTGGAAGGTAGTGGTGTAGATGAGTATGAGTATTTCAATTGTGAAGTAGTAGTGTAAAGTGAGTG